ATGTCGCCCGCGTGGCGCAGTGGTTAGAGCGTCTGCTCTAGAGTCGCGAAGTAAGGAGATGATCCTTACGTCGCGGGTTCGAATCCCACTATGGGACGTGAAGACCGGTCCTTCGGATGAGACCGTATAAACCGAGGTCCCGTGTCGCAGTAGGTGCTGGCACGAAAAAGATCCCTCACTGCTCAATGGCCGAAAGTGCCGAGCATAGGACAAATTTGCAGCTCTCCACCTGTAATGGTGGCGTCTCCATATGAGTGAAAAATTCTCGATAGGAACGTTAAACAACATACAATCAATCTTTTGTAGATTTTGATTATTAGCTCACCTGAGCCGAAGGCTCAAGTGAGCTTTTCTGATCACATTTTGTCCGTCGTCCGTCTGTCCGTCCGTCCGTCTGTCTGTCTGTCCGTCTGTCCGTCTGTAAACTTTTCACATTTTCGACTTCTTCTCAAAAACCACTGGGCCAAATTCAACCAAACTTGCCACAAAGTATCCTTGGGTAAAGGGGATTCAAGTTTGTTCAAATGAAGGGCCACACCCTCTTTCAAGGGGAAATAATTAGGAATTAGTGAAAAAATAATGGCATCATTTAAAAATCTTCTTCTCAAGAACCACTGGGCCAGGAAAGATGAAACTTATGTGAAAACATCCTCAGGTAGTGTAGATTCAAGTTTGTTCAAATCATGACCCCCGGGGGTAGGGCGGGGCCACAATGGAGGATCAAAGTTTTACATAGAAATATATAGGAAAAATCTTTAAAAATCTTCTTCTCAAGAACAGCAAAGTCATGATGAGTCATATTTATATGGGAGCATCTTCAGATAGTGTAGATTCAAATTTGTTAAAATCATGACCCCCGGGGGTAGGGCGGGGCCACAGTGGAGGATCAAAGTTTTACATAGAAATATATAATAAAAATCTTTAAAAATCTTCTGATGAAGAACAGCAAAGCCATGATGAGTCATATTTATATGGGAGCATCTTCAGGTAGTGTAGATTTAAGTTTGTTCAAATCATGACCCCCGGGGTAGGGTGGGGCCACAATGGAGGATCAAAGTTTTACATAGAAATATATAGGAAAAATCTTTAAAAATCTTCTTCTCAAGAACAGCAAAGTCATGATGAGTCATATTTATATGGGAGCATCTTCAGATAGTGTAGATTCAAGTTTGTTAAAATCATGACCTCCGGGGGTAGGGCGGGGCCACAGTGGAGGATCAAAGTTTTACATAGAAATATATAATAAAAATCTTTAAAAATCTTCTTCTCAAGAACAGCAAAGTCATGATGAGTCATATTTATATGGGAGCATCTTCAGGTAGTGTAGATTCAAGTTTGTTCAAACCATGACCCCCGGGGGTAGGGTGGGGCCACAATGGAGGATCAAAATTTTACATAGAAATATATAGGAAAAATCTTTAAAAATCTTCTCAAGAACAGAAAAGCCATGATGAGTCATATTTATATGGAAGCATCTTCAGGTAGTGTAGATTCAAGTTTGTTAAAATCATGACCACCGGGGGTAGGGCGGGGCTGCAATGGACTATCAAAGTTGTACATAGAAATATATAGGAAAAATCTTTTTCTCAGGAACAGCAAAGCCCAGATTGTTCATATTTATATGGGAACATCCACAGGTAGTGTAGATTTAAATTTATTCAAATCATGACCCCCTGGGGTAGGGTGGGGCCACAATGGAGGATCAAAGTTTTAAATAGAAATGTATAGGAAAAATCTTTAAAAATCTTCTTCTCAGGAACAGCAAAGCCCTGATTGATCATATTTATGTGGAAGCATCCTCAGGTAGTGTAGATACTATTTTGTTGAAATCATGACCCCCGTGGGTAGGATGGGGCCACTATGGAGGATCAAAGTCTTAAATAGAAATATATAGGAAAATTTCATCTTCTGAAGAACTGCAAACCATGATTAGTCATTTTGATATGGAAGCATCCTCAGGTAATGTAAATTCAATTTTGTTCAAATGATGACCCCCAGGGGTTGGGTGGGACCCATTGGGGGATCGAAAGTTTTACATAAGAACATATAGAAAAAATATGTCTTCTCAAGAACAGGAAAGCTATGTTTAGTCGTATTGATATGGAAGCATCCTCAGGTAGTGTAGATTTAAGATCAAATGATGACCCCTGGGATAGGGAGGAGCCACAATGGGGGATCAAATTTTTACAAAGGAATATATGGGAAAATTTTTTTAAAATCTCAAGTACAACAAAGCCATTTGTTATATTGACATGGAAGCATCATCAGGTAGTTTAAAATTCAACCCCCCCCCCCCCCGGTAATCATTTCAATACTGAACTGATTTGTGCTTTTGCCTAGCCAATGTGCTCAGGTGAGCGATGTGGCCCATGGGCCTCTTGTTTTTTATGACTTATCAGCTTCGTAACTATTTATCAATAGTTACTGAAGTAAAGGGAATTTTCAAATCTTTAACCAGACGGACAAATGCCTCTCATCACAAATTCAAATACAGTTGAACTTCGGTATCTCTAACACTGACATCTCGAATACCATGGATATATCGAAGTGATATGAAGTCCCAAACACTTATTTTTTAAGTATTTAACCCTCGATATCTCGAATCCTCGGAGGTCACGAACTTTCTTCTCCGTACCATTGAGTTTGAGATAACGAGGTTTGACTGTATAAAGTTCCGAAACTTTCCCATTGTTTGTGTACCAGTAAATAGATATCCTTCAATCAATATTAAAAATTTAGAATGTTCAGTCAATACACATATACCGTACTTGCAAGTCTTTAATCATGTACTGTGGATAATTTGTTTATATGTAGCAACGTAATCGTTTATATTGATATATTTCAATAAACAGTAAAAATTAAATGATAACGCCAGTATGAAATATGAAGAAAACGATCAGAAATCAAAATCAAAAGTCCATTGGGAGCAGAGCTAAAAAAAACATCAGAGTGGGATCAGGGAGTAAGCATCCCCTGTCGACCGGTCACGCCCGTCGTGTGCTCCTTGTCATGATCGGGCAAACGGAAAAATCCGAAGACAATTCAGTGTGAAAATAATGGCTTAACAATCTGTATGAAAAACCTCAGGCAACTTTCGACTTAACGATAAATTGTGTTTGTAACAAGGTCATTGTATCGACCATGGAATTAGTATCTTCAGTTATATTAGTAAAGCAGATTTATGAAATAAGTGTAAATATTGTAACGCCATAATCATAGACCTACCACATGAAACATGCAGTGATTATTTTTGTCTCTGTTTATAATACTGATTATAAAGATATTTTAGGGCCAAATATTGTCTACTTCATAATTTTTTTGTCAGTACAGAAAGGTCACGACTATTCCGTTGTTTGAATGTCGACATTATCGCTGACAGAGGGTTGAGATGTTATAATCATTATCCAATATACAAAATTTACCCTTTGTCTAATCTACTTCTAGCGTTGCCACTTAAAATAATCATATTTCCAAGACTTGAAGATTCTATTGAAGGATATTCTATATATCATTATGAACTACAACTGATGCGGAGTGATATTGAATTCAGTAGGTACTACTTATCGATATAATGTGGAAGTGAACCGAAGGCACTTTTTGTTTGCTGGGTGTTTGATATTTAAAAATAAATGAATATTTGTTTATGAAATAAAAGTTTAACACGAAATATTCCTGGAGGAAAATTAGTCCGGCCATACCTGCGTTGGATTTCAAATTTGAAATTTTGTAATGGTTAGTGGATCGACCAATCTTATTTGTCTTGGAATATAAGGGGATTGGGATCATCTAGACTCCAAAAGAGCTGATCACCCTTTTAATAGGTAGACTGGGCCTTATGTATCGAAAGGAGACTCTGGAACCCGCTAGGCCGTACTGACTGAATCTTAGAAGTCGATAGACGAAGGCAGAAGAAAAAGAGGTATAAATCTTCCATAGAGAGCGAAGGTTGGATGTATAGCACTAGTGTCAGAAGAGAATTCTAGAGGAATTATGGTGAGGCACTGGTGGATAATAATCCTAGCTAAATAAGGGTATAAGAACCTGGTACTTCAAGAAACAAAAGGAACTCTGGTTGTTCAGAAACACAGTGCAGGCTACCTTGCTCATAAACCACTGTGTACCATTTTGACTTTTGTACATTGTTCCAATCAATAACTTAGATAGAGTCAGAAGAAATATAGGATCCCCCATGGTTTGTGGTTGGATGACTTTTAATCCAACGAGTTGTGTGTTTTTATCCCCGAGCGTTAACGAGGGGATAAAAACAAACGAGATGGATAAAAAATCATATCCAACCACAAACCATGGGAGATTGTTTTACACAGTTATTTCATGTTTTACACTGTTTTATGTAAATCCACAATATTTGACTTGATCAAATTCACACAAAAACCATTGTGACGTCACAACCGTGGATATGAAAACGATATTCTATGAGCTATAAAGGAGTAAACATGTGATAAGAATTAATATTATGTAAGTAGATTATTTTCGTAATTTTCATTGGTTGAAAGGACGTCACGTGATATTCGTCCTTTTGTGATATTGACGCGAAAGCGCGACCGCAGAATATGATATTGTGCGACTTACCGTTCGACTGCACCAAAGATACATAGAACATGATGTCATAATATAAGAAGCATGTTTTACCATTGTAACGTACTGACAGCCAAATCTGTTGTGTCAGATTATTAACATAATGTAACTTTTATGGACTTCAGTGAACGGTCAATATTTGCAATTGGTTATAAGGACCCATGTCAAGTGATACATGTCTTGACCTCATACACAGAAAATATTAGCGATCTCACAAGCTCGGTCACTATAACTTTCTGTCTTCGGTCAATATCACTTGACATAGGTCCTTATAACGACATATCGACCTAACTGAATAAATCAAAATGTATAATATATCATACCATTGTCCCTTGAAGAACCCAGTAATTTGACACGTTAAAATACATTTCACAAAGTTAGCAATCAAAATACAAGTTCATTACCTCTGGTTCTTTATAAGCCCATCCTGAGAACTGGGAGGAACTGCCAATAGAATCGCTCCTATAATCGCTACATACATACACCGAGTCCCCAGTCTGAAGCTGAATCATAACAAAGTCAGAGGCAAGGTTTCCTAAACGACTCCGCAGTTTTCTCACGGGTTGACCTCTGACAAAGAGATATGTTGCGGTGTACTGATTATGGTTTCTGCTTTGTTGACTCCATAACAAGATGTAAAGGCCGTCGCTAGGACACGTGAAGATCCCGGATGTAGAATTGTAACCTTGACCCACATTAGTGAGGATTTTGTCAAAAATAAGAAGGTCGCCGTTCCCCTTCATTGAGTCGCCTGAGTGAGTATGAAAGGCGATTTGCTCCTCAGGAGCGTCTGAGAAGTTTAAAGAAAATGAATCTTTTTATGGAGGATACATGTAAAAAAAAATATTAAAAGGAGCATATATACATATTTAGTTACGTAGTCTCTTCTACAAAATGTTGATGAAATCTGGGAAGCAGGTATAAGATTGTATTTTTGAAATTAAGGTATTCATCCTCTATCTTACAAGAGAGATAGCTCTCACAGGATTTGAAATCGTCTTCAAAAATTGCCAGATGAAAGGCAATTTCTGTCAATTTTTGCATCACAAGGTACTCTGCAATTGTTCTTATTAATTTCCATTTTAATTCAGATTTCTTTTGGAAAATTTTTATTGATAAAGCAAACTTTTATATGCGTGAACAAATGGATAATGAACCTTAAAGTGTACTTACCATGTAAAGTAGCTGGAGGCTGACTTTGACAGAAGTATCTCCAGCCCCTCTCTACTCTCCCAACGTTGCAAATCAGACAAAAATTCAACAAGTGACGCTCTCTTTCTGTCACGTGATAACGAACAGATGAACATCCGGGAACGTTTTTGCAGATCACAGCACACTTCAACAAAGTAACGGAGCAATATGCAGTTATCAGATGAATTGTGGGTAAGTACACATCGTCAAAACGAGGCTGATGTTTGAAGTCTGAGGACACAAAGACATCGCCAGTACAGACTAGGAATTTCGAGTATATAATCAACATGAACATCCATTTCTTCGGAAAAATCATCGTATTTAGAACTAGAAATCAGTGACAAGTTATACATCAAAACGAATGTTTATAAAAATGCAGTTGTACATGTATATGATGTAATGAGACTCAATTTTGACCTTTTTTTCGAACTAAAATGAACACCGATAGCAATCTTGTAGCAATGTATAAATCCTCAATTTGATTCTGAGAAAAAAATCTATTACAAATTGTTTCTAAATGCTGTGTACTGAGAGAGTTTCGGTATTTTATGTACCCCGATTCCGATTGAGTGATTTTAATTTCAAGCCGGGCGCCGATTTCTTCTCTCGGGTAAGCAACACAGCAATCTTCCGATTATTGTTTTCAATAATCAACCTTTGAATTTTATCTCCCGGCAGCTATAAACATATCTTCCTAGCTCTCCTGGGCAGTAATAAAGGCTCATGTTAGCTTTTCTGATTAAAATGTGTCTGTAAACTTGTCGCATTTCGTGTTTCTCTCCAGAACTACTAGACTAATATCATTTAAATCTGCGCTAAGGGATATTAATTCAAATGAAGGACCACATTACAAGGGAGATAACAAATAGGAATGAATAAAATTCGGAGAGGGCCTTTTTTTTTTGCTTAGCGTCCCTTTGAATTTTGTTTTCCCTCTCTTCACAATGTAGATACATTAACAACTAATAATTCTTAATCAATCACTGGCAATATGTATAAAAGCAGACAAGATTTAAACTCACAGCTTATACAAAAGTTATTGGAAGGTCCAGAATATATCTTACTTACAAATTTCAAATTTTTTCCCTTATTTTTCATACAACTTGCATGCATTATTATATTGCTTCAGAAAACACAGATAGCAAGCTAGCCTATCTCCTAAGGATGAGTAAATTTCACGTCTCTTTGATACGTGAAATATGAATTCGATTTCACGTATCTTTGACGTGTGAAATATACATAAAGAAAATAATTTTATTTGCGCTTTCTTTTCTATTTTGGCATACCTCGTTCTTGTGATCTTTTTCTATGATGTAGATTGATATTAACATGGAAACCATTTTCTTTTCCAAACTAACACAACTATTTTGATTCCTATTAAGGGACCAGTTTAAACCTTTATCATACCTCATTCTTTCATTCAAAATGACAGCATTTTTTTAAAATAAAATGTCAGTAAGTGAATTAGCACTCGGATGAGCCATGTAGCATAAGCAACTCTATCTTTCGAATTTTAGATGTCGTATTTATACTTTTCAGTAAACAACCTGATTCATGACGTAATTGTGGGAAATCTCTAATTATTTTTAGCAACAATACGCAGTGGGTCCTTTAGAAAGAGGTTTTGCAGATTTGTAATCATTTGTGTTCGTTATTATCATGAGAAAATCCCAAAGGCTACATGATCTACATCGTTTAATTTATTTCAAAAACATATCCTAGATAATGGGTATATTAATTTGAGTTTTTTTTTTATCCTAAGAGCAGATTACATGTGTAATGAAAATTAAAAAAAATAACAAAATAAATACTCTGCCTTCCGCAATCAGAGGATTTTAAAATTGCTTCATCAAGGTAAATTATTGTGTCATCCTAGCAAAGGCTTGTAGACCGTTAATTTCAGTGATCATTTTAACAAAATTACGTAATATGTCGATTAATAAGTTGAAGCTAATTGATAGGTTGAAGCCCTATCCTTTGCTATATGTATGTACAATCAATATATCAATATTTAGACGTATACAAATGTCACACAGCACAATCAATATTACAATTAATTACATTTTCAACAGTGAAATACTGTAATTTATTTACTGAATAAAAGTGATATTCTGACACAGTGTGAAAGCATGGTATTCTCACAGTGGGATCAATATTACAACATACAGATCTCACATAGCACAATCATGATTACAATATACAGATTTCACGCACCACAATCAATATTACAACATACAGATATCACATACCACAATCAATATCACAATATACAGATTCCACACACCACAATCAATATCACAATATACAGATTCCACACACCACAATCAATATTACAATATACAGAGTCCACAGACCACAATCAATATTACAATATACAGATATCACACACCGCAATCAATATTACAATAAACACATTCCACATACCACCATAAATATTACAATATACAGATTTCACACAGCACAATCAATACTACAATATACAGATTCCACACAGCATAATCAATATTACAATATACAGATATCACACACCAGAATCAACATTACAATATACAGATATCACACACCACAATCAATATTACAATATACAGATTCCACACAACACAATCAATATCACAAATACAGATTTCGCACACTACAATCAATATTACAATATACAGATTCCATACAGCACAATCAATATTACAATATACAGATTCCATAGAACACAATCGTTATTACAGTATACAGATACCACACACCACGATCAATATTACAATATACAGATTTCATACACCACAATCAATATTTCAATATACAGATTTCACACAATACAATCAACATTACAATATACAGATTTCACACAGCACAATCAATATTACAATATACAGATTTCACACACCACAATCAATATTACAATATACAGATATCACATACCACAATCAATATTACAATATAGAGATATAACACACCACAATCAATATTACAATATACAGATATCACACAACACAATCAATATTACAATATACAGATATCACACAACACAATCAATATTACAATATACAGATATCACACAACACAATCAATATTACAATATACAGATATCACACACCACAATCAATAGTACAATATACAGATTCCATACACCACAATCATTCTTACAATATTAAGTCGTCCTTAAGTTCTTTACTAGGGGAAAACGTATGACTCATAAATCACGATAAGTCAGTTCTTCATATTTTAAGTATTAGTAAGTCTGTTTCATTAATGACTTTGATTTCAAATAATATGCTTACTTTTAAGTGCAAACGTATACTTTATCGCCAGTTAACAATATACAGTTGAAATTCGTTTTCTCGAACACCGATATCTCAAATACCAGGCACCTGTCAAAATGAGTTGGCAGTCCCAACCATGTTTTTTTTTTAAATGTTTTCACACTCCTCATCTCCAATCTTCGGATAACTCTTAGTTTAATTTAGTCCCGTTGAGTTCAAGATAACAAGGTTCGACTGTATATTTTATTTGTTTTATTTTGCCGTATTATCTTTAACATATTAAGAATTGCAAGCTATTTCACTTAACATTTAAGATATTTTAATTCTTAAGGCTTTTGATATAGATAAAAAAAAATTGACGGGTTACCGGGAACCACAGATCAGCCTTATTAATAATCAATTGAGACTTGATCTTAAAATCAGCTGTAATGAATAATTATAAATACCAACAAGATAAAATAGAGAAAATGAATGTCATCCGTAATAAATGTGTACTTTGCTAAGATATCTGATTAGATGTGTGTTTCTTTCTCAGAGAGAGAGAGAGAGAGAGAGAGAGAGAGAGAACGAGAGATTGAAGGAGAGAGAGAGGAGTAGAAAGAGAGGGAGAAAGAAAAGGGAAAAAAAACTGGTGTAAACTACAATATCACAAATAGCGTTTGAATCACTTTTGCTAATCATTTGATATAAGTAGATCTTTTTTTATTCGGACATTAATCGGTAACTAATGACGCCAAGGAGTCCCTATAAGTGATATAAAGACGCAAAGGAATACGACATCGTCATGCGAAGTAAGTAGGTTTCTCGTAATAAATTACTCTAATCTTGATCTCTGCTAATCTATCTGAGGTTATGCCCTGTTTATAACAAAACAAATACGCCATCTATAAAATAAGGGGGGGGGGGGGCTGTAGGTCTTGAGGGTCACCTGGGAATCATTTTCTCACGGTATGACTAAGGCCTGATCTCTAGGAACTGTTCACAGTGAGTGTGAAACTAATTTTATATCAGTCGCTTACTAACCTTTAAACTCCGTCACTACCCTATTTCCATCACTTACAAAAAAACTCCGTGCTGTCTGTAAACCAATGCGATTATGACGTGCGTCAATTTTCGTATACTAAAAATCTTCAATCAAATGTGGAGATTTTATATCAGAATGCGTCAAAATAAATCATGATTTCAAGTAATCTATTGTATCCACCATATATTTTATAAAATCGGTAAGCACTTTTCTCTTTATACTAATATCACATGATATATGCGTCTCCGTGCTTATTGACATCTGTCAGCCATTTTTAGAAAGGCCAATGTCAAAGGTTTCAAGAACATACCATGTTGAATAAGGCTTAAAATATATTATTTTCCTCTGCGTCTGTCCATCCGTCTGTCCGTCTGCCTGTCCCTCTAGCTGTCTGTCAGTCTGTCCCATTTGGTTTTCCGCACTTTTTCCTAAACGCTTGCAGATATTGAGCTGATTTTTTGTTATGTAAGTGTATCTAGATGAGATCAAGTTTGCATTTCGTTCCGCTTCATTGATTTTCTGCGGAATTACGACCTTTTCAATTCTTAAGGGTTTTCCGCAATTTTTTTTTCTACACGCTTGCAGATATTGAGCTGATTTTTGTATGTGACTTTACCTTGATTAGTTATAGATTAAGTTTGCATTTCGTTCCGCTTCAATGATTTTTGATGGAATTTTGGCATTTTCAATTTTTAACGGGATCCAGATTACACTTGCCGGTAGGGGACTAGTATTGCTGATGCAAAACTCTCAGAATGCTTGTTATATTTGCAAAATTGTTTTGTCATATATAACAATCTTTGAACAAGGCGTATTTAGACCACTGCACAGATTCGTCACATGACCAGAATTTTTTGTAATTTTTTTAAAATCATAAACGATCGATGTAATTTCACAGTGACGTCATAAGTGGTCGATGTGCTCAACTCATTCAATTTATAAATACAGTATAGATTTGAGGGATTAAAACTATATTACGCAAACATTTGCTATAAATCAATGAGTCACAACTATTGATAAAGGTAAAAGGGTATCATT